TTAATTATTACTAGACCTAATATTAAAACCTTCCCTCAGACATATTGATGCACCAGTACAATTCATTCCTCTGCCCCTGCCTTTGCCTTTGCCTGGGTTATGGCATCAGCACTCTTTGCTTGATTAGCTTACAGGCTTAATCATGCTAATGAAACCATTTTTGTACAACCACTGGATTTTAAGTGAATTGCCTGTTTATTATTTACTTAATATACTTCCACAATTAGTAACTCTCTTACTACCCATTTTTTGTATTTTCATTTTAAAGTAACCTTATCTTCTATGAGAAATAGCTTTATCCCATATTTATGAAAATCAGTTTAGTGTCAGGGTATGTTTTTATTATCAAATTAGTCTGAACTGTGGCTCCTAAATTAAATTGTTTTCTCCTCTGTTGGTAGATAAATCACTCATCGTGTGAAAATGTTTTAGCTATTATTTCTCTTGCTATTGGGGGAGTAACTGAAGGTAAGTATGGATTTTATTTTTTAAGTAATCTGGGACACTATATGCTTTTTTTAAAAACTTACTCTCAGCGCTGGCCAGATTATTCAGTTGGTTGGAGCATCATCCCAGATGCCAAAAGGTTGCAGGTTTGATCCCCAGTCGATCAGGGACATATGGAAGATTAACAGGATATACCGTATTTTTCGGACCATAAGACGCACTTTTTTCCCCCCCAGAAGTGGGGGGGGAAAAGTCCCTGCGTCTTATGGTCCAAATATAGCCTACACATATACTTTAAAAAAAAGTTTTTTTACTTGCCCAGCTCTTTGTGGTCTCTGTGTGCTTGCCCGGCTCTAAAATGGTTCTAAATGCTGCTGTTTACTTTACAGGGTTGATTACATGTGTTTATGACTGTGATGTTGGGTTTTAATGCACATAAAATATTTTAGGACACTATTTGTTTCAGAATCTTTTTTTCTTCATTTCCCTTCTCTAAAAACTGGTGCGTCTTATGGTCCGGAGCGTCTTATGGTCCGAAAAATACGGTAATAAGTGCTATAATTTATGTAAAGTGTACTTCAGAAACAGATGAGGTATACTTCTCAAAGGTATAAGGGTTTTTGTTTTTTCTTTTACGATACACTATGTACTCTGTATTTTGAAAGATTAAGAATTTATCACATGATAGGAGGAGGTCTGTTTAGGCAGGAAAAGCATTGTAAACAAAATCATGGAAGTCTGAACATAGCAAGTTGTTTAGGAACTAAGAAGAGGGTATCTATCTGTGGCCAAGATTAAAGTGAAACAAAGAGGCCCATGTAGAAACTGGGACACAGGTTGTGAAAGTTCTGAGGATCATGTATATAATCCACCTCAAGAATAACCAGAGATCTTTATTTTAAACTGAGTTTTACTGAATCAGAATCTTTTACAGGAATCTAAGTTATGTAATTATCAAATGTGAGTTAACTTATGCCAAACTACACTGAGTGGCCAGATTATTATGATCTCTGAATGCATAATAATCTGGCCACTCTGTGTGTGTGTGTGTGTGTGTGTGTGTGTGTGTGTGTGTGTATCCCATCCACTGCATGGATGGGATCCTGCCAGCCTGGCCAGGGGGAGGGGACACGGCAGTTGGCCGGCCTGCCTGCTTGTCGAACTGGTCCCCTCTGGTTGAGGGGACAATTTGTATATTAGCCTTTTATTATATAGGATGTACACTGAGTGGCCAGATTGTTATGCATTCAGAGATCATAATAATCTGGCCACTCTGTATACTGCAACTAAGGGCAAGGAGTATGCCTTTCAAATCTCTTGGATGTACAGGGCATACATATAGTATTACAAAGTGTTAAGGGACTTGAGAGGTCATGTAGTCCAGTCTCATCTCTGGCTTCCTGACTTCCCTATAACATCCCTGGCAGGTGATCATTCAGTCTCTACACTCATTGATAGAGCTAAGAAATTCATTTCTGTTCTAAGAATTTTATTTAGTTTCGATTATCAGATTTCCCTTGTATTGAGTTGAAATCTGCTGCCTCATGCTACCCACTGACTTTAGGCAGTATCTCTCATGTCACATTCCAGATGTGATCTTACCAGTGCCCAGCAGAGCTGGAAATAGTGCCTCCTTTTTCTGAATGTACTATGTTAATGCAATGTGGTGGGCTTACAGTAATATTAATTTTTATTTTTATTTTATTTATTTTACGTGCCATGCTTAAGTGGCTACTCTTAAACGCTGAACAAGTGTTAGCAATTATATTATCTTAAAATAGAAGGCAGAATTAGCAGAGAAATAAAAGTATTTTTACCTGGACTAAATGACCTTTTCTTAAAATATTTAATTTATTGCTTTTCTTTAATAATGTTGAATTTAGAAATAAACTTGTTCTGTCCCCTAAAATAATACTATTACTTTAAAAGTTCAATAATAATTGAAATCAATATCAAAGCTTATTATTTTAAAATAATCTTTTAAGTCTCAAAGAATTTAGCAACATTGCAGAACAGTTAGAAATGAGAAAAAAGTGAAAATACTAGTCACAATTCCTCTCCATTAAAAACTGCCATTCATTTTGGTATATGGTTTTAGCTTTGCTAGTCTTTTAAAATTTTTATTGTCGTAACCATTATATACATACAGTTTTGAATCCTGCCTTTTCACTTAACATTATTCCAGGTAATAGTGATCATAACCACCATTTTTAATTGGCAGCATTATATTCTTTTGAATAGCTTAGTGGTTAAGAAAACAGACTATGAAGCCAGACTGCCTGGGTTCATATCTCAGCTCTACCACTTACTGACTCTATGATCTCGAGCAAGTTACTTAACTTCTCTGTGTCTCAATTTTCCCATTCTGTAAACTGGACAGAATATTCCAACTAGTAGGGTTAAATTATCCGCCTAGTAGTGTCAGTGTGCCTGACATGTAGTAAATGTTCTAGAGTATCTTATCAGGAATAATCACCATCATTATTGAGTGCACATACTAAAACTTAAGTATGTCCCATTTGGGAACTTTTTTTAGGTTCCTCTCATTTCTTGTCAAAGACTTTTTAGGATTGACAAAGTACACCTTAGCACGTTCTTCAGAGTGATTTTCATGTGCTATTGTACTCGACAGTGTTTTAAACTTTCCCCTTCCGTTTGGCATAAAGGTGTTTGCACCGCCTCTTCTCCTTTCGTACTGCTGGGAGACGTTTTGGATTGTCTTCCTTTGGATCAGTGTGATACCATATTCACTTTCGTGGAAAAAAATGTTGCTACTTGGAAATCAGTAAGTGCCTTAGGTTCTTTTTCTACTAACATTATCTTACTATTGATCCAAAATTGTGACAGTATATTTTGTTGCTTGTATTTCTAATAGTGCTAATTGCTAAAAAGTTTGTCTCTATGAGAGAATTATGTATTCTCTCTTGGGAAAGACAAGTAAGAGTCATTTATGGGGGAAAAGTTGAAGCACTTAGTAATAACAATTTAAAAATATACACTTTTACATGTGTAAAGCCATTTTTGGTATCATGTTTTATAAGAAAATATTTTTATTTCATTGAAAATGTTATTTGCTTAGAAAAAGTAAAAGTGGCATAGTAGATTCTCAGTGCATGTTGGTATTTTTTAATATTTTACTTCCTGTGACTTATTGAAGGATGTGCAGCAACTTCTAGACTATAGTAATTATTTCTGTCTTAATTTCAGAATACGTTCTATTCTGCTGGGAAAAATTATTTACTACGTATGTGCAATGGTAGGTAATTCAGTGGTAAATGATTATTTTTAAAACATAAATATGGACAGAAAAACAGGTGTTCAATTAACCACAAGGAATAAAATTTGTTAAATAGACTAGCATCTTCATTTTTAAATAAGTCTGATTTATTAAAACTGATCAATGACTTTAAATTGTTTCTGTTCTGTATTAAAACTTAATGAAAACAAAACAAAACAAAAGGTCAAGCTTATCTTGCCCATGTTAAACTTATTTTATTTCTAACTAGAGGCCTGGTGCATGAAAATTCATGCACTGGAGGGAGGGTCCCTTAGCCCAGCCTGCCCCGTCGCACAGTCCAGGAGCTCTCAAGGGCAGGTGGCAACCCCCCCATCACACCTCTGCTACTGCCACTGCCAGCAGTGCAAGTCTCTGCAGGCCCTGGCTACCTGAGCCTCAGCCAGCCATGGGCGGCTGGGCAACTGCCATCCGAGGCTTGCCTGTGCCTTGGACCGGCCCTGGGCGGCTAGGGGGCGGAGGGGACTGGGGGACTTAAGAGGCAAGTGTCCTGGTGGGGCTGAGGAGATGGTGCCAGCATCTTTGAGGGTGGGGCAGTCAATTAGCATATTCCCTCCTCATTGGATGAGGGCACCGTGTGAGGGTCAGTTAGCATATCCCCTTTTTATTAGATAGGATTAGTTAGTGCATTTTATTTTTTATCTTATTTTTTCACAGAGAGGAAGGAAGAGGGATAGATAGCTAGAAACATCAATCAGCCGCCTCCTGCACACCCTCTACTGGGGATGTGTCCACAAGCATGTCTGCATGCCCTTGATCAGAATCGTACCTGGGACCCTTCAGTCTGCAGGCTGATGCTCTATCCACTGAGCTAAACCGGCCAGAGCTATTTAGTGCATTTTTGTGACAGTTTCTACCCCCATCTTGACAACTGCTACTTTAGGAAAATACTCTTTTAACAAACTGATTAAAACTTGGGTATGAATGTTAAAAAAGAATGATCTCTTCTGTGTAACCTTTATTTCCATATATTATTAGATCTCTTAAGAAGATTATCAAAATCCCAGAATACAGTTTTCTGTGGACGAATTCAACTCTTTTTGGCCAGGCTTTTCCCTTTATCTGAGAAATCCGGTAAGGTTTTTTTTTACATTAAACATGCTTTGCAGGAAAGTCTTTTTCCAGTTTTTAATGGATTAGAACCTATCATGATAATAAGAAATGGTTCTAATATAACAAGAGACTGTGTTGTTGCTTTTATCACTTAGGAAATTCCAAGCAGTTTGGGAGCTGTGAGCCAGGAACTGATGATGAAAACCAGATATATTTCTTATAAATACACTGTCTCTCTGTGTATTTTTTATTTTATTTTTTAAATATATTTTTTACAGAGAGGAAGGGAGAGATATAGAGAGCTAGAAACGTCGATGAGAGAGAAACATCAACCAGCTGCCTCTTGCACACCCCCTATTGGGGATGTGCCCGCAACTCAGGTACATGCCCTTGACCGGAATCGAACCTGGGACTTTTCAGTCCGCAGACCGACGCTCTACCACTGAGCCAAACCAGTTTCGGCTCTCTGTGTATTTTTTAAATAACCCACAGCAAAAACCATGAGATTATACTAATATTTAGAGTTTATCTGCCACCAGACCAGCTTATATATAACTTCTGTCTCTGACAGAAACCTGGCTCATTAACTACATTTCCCATAAATATTGTTATACACTCTCACTTTTTGATTAATACAATTTTTTGTCTGTGATTCAGCAAAACTGTAAATTGTTACATACTGCATTATATTAAGTTATTCATGAATGATAAGGATCAGCTGTATTGTGTGTAGAATTCTGTGTGTTCTAAAGGCATCTGTAAGAAATGAATTTTAGAACAGTTTGAACATGCAAGTGTGGTGTTGTTTCTAACTTGATCTTTTCCTTAATTATGGATTTATTACTGTATATGTTTTAGTTATATGACAACAAACTTACAAGTTTAGGTGTTTGGTGGATTTGCTTTGAAATCTTTTTTTTTCTTCTTTTTTCTTAATAGGTCTTAACTTGCAGAGTCAGTTTAATCTGGAAAATGTCACTGTTTTCAATACCAATGAGCAGGAAAGCACTTTGGGTCAGAAGGTAAGGCTGATACGAAATCTAACAGAACATGTTTGTTTGTTATTGAAGTAACTTATGAATGGGTCTTCTAAGTCATCAACAATTTAAAATCTTTATTTCCAACTTATAGAAATAATATGTATTCTCTGTTAAAAATGCAAACAAAATAGAAATATTTAAAATAGCATAGCTACCCATAATCCAAGGCCCAAAAGATAACCACTCTGTCTAGCCTCATAATACTTTTTGTATAAATGTAGTTTTATTCCAAAAATGAATAAAACTATACACTGTTCTGAAATTCACTTTCTTCTTTTTAAGCAGTAAAAAAATTGATATATTGCCCTGACCCGTTTGGCTCAGTGGATGGAGCGTCGGCCTACAGACTCAAGGGTCCCAGGTTCAATTTCGGTCAAGGGCATGTGCCTTGGTGGCGGGCACATCCCCAGTAGGGGGATGTGCAGGAGGCAGCTGATTGATGTTTATCTCTTCGATGTTTCTAATTCTCTCTTCCTCTCCCTTCCTCTCTGTAAGAAAATCAATAAAATATATATTTTTTTAAAAAGGATGCATTTTTGCCTCAGTATGTTTAGATGTATATCAGTGTTCATGGCTCTTGATAAATCTTTTGATATATAACAATCCTGACAGTGGCATTTAGATAATGTCTAAAAGTGAAAAATTGTTAACAGCATTATAGTGAATAATATTGCTATATTATACAGGTGTATCTGTAAGATAAAGTTTAATAAGTGAAATTGCTATGTCAAAATAATACGTATATCAGATTTTGATGGTTGTTGTGCAGCTACTTACTCAAAGAGGTTATAGTCATTGATACTATCACCAGTGGTACATAGAGGATGCCTGCTTATTTTCACACAACCTCACAGCAATCCTAGGAATTACCAACTTTTAAAATCTTTAATTGTTGTGTACTTAAAAAGTAAGTTATCTTTATTTTTACTTACTTCTTTGGTTATTAATGTACTGTTGTTTGTTTTTACTTAGCACACTGAAGATAGAGAAGAAGGAATGGATGTAGAAGAAGGTGAAATGGGTGATGATGAAGCTCCAACAACTTGGTGAGTTTTTAGTCCAGATTTCTTGATTTACAAAGTTAATACTTAACAAGTTCTAGAGAGAGAATATAGACAAAGATGAAGGAAATCATGCTTATAGATTTATTTGTAACTTTTGTGTAAATTACTTAAAATTATAAATTCCAGTTACTAATGGGCTGTATCCAATGGTTTCTAAATTGTGTGCAGACGGTTCATTGTTCCTAACATGTAAAAGACCAAGCACAAGCAACCCCTTCTCCCTTCCATTCAGCTTTGTGGACTCAATGCCTGTGGATATTGAGCCTGATTATTTAATGAAATAGGAGAGATAAGAAGTTTCCTTTCTCTTTCCTCCTCCTTTCTGCTTCCCTTCTGTCACTCTCTTATTTCATCCTCTATAACCCTATGCTTTCCCTCCAACTAATTTCTGATTAATACTGGTTAGAAGCAATGAGGAAGCAAAACATGAAGGTATAAAGGAACACTTTCACTAGCATTCTTTAAAACAGTTATCATCAGTTGCAATTGAAAGATTTCCTGAAGATCAAGAAAGGGTTTCTATATCTGTACAGGGAGATATATTCCTTTAATCTCAAATTTCAAATTCAAACACATAGCCCCAAGGAACATTGAAAGTAGTGTAACTCCAGGCATAATTCCTGTATTTCCTACTACTTAACCTACCAGCAACTCAGTTTCAGAGTATTTAAAAATGTAGTAATGCCATCTACCTGCTTCAGTTATTGAAAAGAATAAATTAGATGCTCAGTTATTGAAAAGAATAAATTAGATGCTATTCAGAAGTGATCTGCTATCCTTATTATAACTGAATTTGTTGATGAATCCTGAAGATGAAGAATGGGAGGTTAACTTGCTGTCATTGGGCAAAATGGAGATTATAGGACTCTTAAGATCATAGGACTATGTGGATCACCAAACCTACTTTTTGTTTCCCATATTAAATTGCAGTCTTATTTAGAATATTTGTATGGGCATGAAGTTTAGAGAAAAGCTAACTATAATCCATTGTTTCAACTTACTAAGGTTTATTTAGAAAGAATGAAGTACACAATTGTGATTACAGACAAAATTAATTTTATAGCAATAATATTGAACATTTTTATAGATATTTGGGATATACATTATTTAATATCTCAAGCAGTTTTTACATTTGGATTATACTTGAAGGCTTTATTGGCTGTTTTAAATGATATAGAGGATTTTGTTAAAAAACATTAATTTCATGGATTTAAAAAGTCTGAAATGTTTGTTTTAACATTAAAGTTAAAACATGCTATAGCATAATGACTGCTTATAAGTCTAAAATTTATAAGTATGTATTGACACTAGATTTGTACTAGTAACATAATCCCATCAAAATTCAAGGGTACTATCACTAAAGATAAAGGAAGGGTGGGTCTATTTATTAATTTCACTTGAAATTATTTATAAAGGTTTATAAGTATTACTAATGTGCACTTTTCTGGGGAGACAGACTGTAATTTTCACCAAATTCTTAAAAGCATTTGGGATTCAAGAAGTTAAAAGCATTTAGATATTTTTAAGAGAACTTAAATTATTTAATATATCATTTCTTTTATTAGCTCCATTCCAATTGATTACAACCTGTATCGAAAATTCTGGTCACTTCAGGATTACTTCAGGAATCCTGTGCAATGTTATGAGAAAATTTCATGGAAAACTTTTCTCAAGGTGAGTCGCCAATCCCAGACTATCAAAAGTCCAATATTTTATTGCCCCTCAACTGGACAGGGTGTGACATCATTGTTTCATTTTGTCACAGTCTTTAGCACAGAAATGGTTAAGAGTTTCCATAGCTGGCTAAATAGCTAATTTCACTGGCAAATTTCTATATACTCTCAAAGCATTCCTTTCTCTGCTTACCCCTTACACACACTGCATTAGAAATTACATTCCATCAAGAGAAGAGAGTTTATTCCTACTTTTAACAGTACCATAAATTTCCTACAAAATAGTTTTATCCTCGTTTTGCTATCATAATTTTCTTAATTTGCCTTACAACATGCATGTATGATAACTGGGAATAAATTCTAGATATTCTGATACAGAAAAGCACTAAGCAGATTATTTAACAACAATGGCAAGTATAACTAGTTGATATTTTTACTTTGCAGTACTCAGAAGAAGTTCTGGCTGTTTTCAAGAGTTATAAGTTAGATGATACTCAAGCCTCAAGAAAAAAGATGGAAGAATTGAAAACAGGAGGAGAACATGTATATTTTGCAAAATTTTTAACAAGTGAAAAGGTACAACTTTTTCACTAAGCATAATAAAAAATTTTTTTTTTCTATTTAATTGATATACTTCTTAATTTAAGTTCATTGGAAATGTTTCTTACTTTTGGTTAAAGCTGGTAAATATTGGTTTTAGAGTCCTATTTCTTGTACAAGTAAGACTAATTTGGCTTTTATGATGAAAGAGTTTGTTCTGCATTAAGTCTGTTTTGTAGACTTATTTTATAGTAAATGCATGTGCCCTGACTGGGACTCGAACCAGCAACCTTTCGATGCACAGGAGGCTCGACCAGCTGCTGAGCCACTCCAGCCGGGCTCTTTCACCACTATGTCTTTATATGTGGGAAAGTGGCAGCCTTTTGCTTTTTTACTTCTGCCTTTTTTCTGACTTCAGGACCACAAATATAACTTTGCTACCCACCAACACAAATATGTCATTACATAAATTGGTAGAAATCTAAGTGAAGCTTTTGCCACTCTGTCCTGGGCTTGTGCAGTAATGCCTCGTGTGCGGTAATGCCTTCAGCAAATGTTATTTGAATTGAAATCTTTTGTTTCTATAATGACATAACCTGTACCTTTAGGCAAAATTTTAATTTTATGTGTTTTGTATACTTGTTTTTCGAGTAGTTGATGGATTTACAACTGAGTGACAGTAACTTTCGCCGACACATCCTACTGCAATATCTCATTTTATTCCAATATCTCAAGGGACAGGTGAAATTCAAAAGGTGAGTACAAATTAATAAATGGGTAGAAGTTTATAAACCACAAAGAGAAGGACTTGTTGATGGATGTGTTTTTCATATATATGGGGCTCATTTTATGTATAACTGTCACATCTCTAAAACATTTCTTTTGCAGCAACATTAGATAATTGAGCTTTTATTAGACTAGATGTTAGGATATTTATTTTAGAGAAAAGGTCTAAATATTTGCAGAGAAGTATTACATTACCAGGGTAGTTGTGTAAAGAACATGGCTTTACTGCCTGCTGGTTTCAGATCCCACTTTCGTTACTCAATAGCGGCAATTCAGCTCTTTCTGACTTGTAATTTTAAGATAACACATATCAAGCACTCAGAAATGTTCTTTCTTATCCTTCTGTTTGTTGTGGAGATTTGGTATACCATAGAGAAAGATCAAGGGCTTTTGAAGCTTGACCTGGATTTGAATTCAAGCTTTATGGCCTTGGGCAAATCATTGAACCTCTAAACACTGTTTAACATGCATACATTCTCATTCTGAGAATTAAATGAGTAATTCATGTAAAGTGCTCAGATCTCGGCACATGGTAGTCTATTAATATTTCTCGATTGGCCACTACAGTGCAATACATAGTGAGAGCTGAACTAATGCCGACTGTTAATAATTTGGGTCTGCTTTCTGTCTTCTCTAGGGATTGGGGTTTTTATTCACTATATTTGGAATCTTTTTAAAGGAACGCAGCATGTTCTGTCAATGTGCATCGTTTAGAGCACGAATAGGGAACCTTTTTCTGCCGACGGCCATTTGGATATTTATAATCATTCACAGGCCATACAAAATTATCAACTTAAAAATTAGCTGCTATATTTGGTCAAACATTTAATTAACTTACCCCAATGCCTTGGCAGCGCCATTTTGTGGGCCTTATACGGCCCAAAGGCCAGACGCTCCCCACCCCTGATGTAGAGGTTAATATCTCTGAGGTTTTCACCCCACATTAAACTGATTATTTTAGGAAATATTCACTGCTCTGTTTATATTTAATTAGATTAATTGAATGTTTTAGCCTCCTCTATACTTTCATGTCTTGGTAATTTTTGACACTTTTTATATTATGCTTAACTTATCTGTTACATGTCTTGTGTTTTTTCTAAAAGAATTTAAATCTTAAAATTGAATGTACATTGCTGTTAATTCAGGCATGCTTTTATTGCTTTGTTCCATAGTTCAAATTATGTTTTAACTGATGAGCAGTCACTCTGGATTGAAGATACTACAAAATCAGTTTATCAAGTAAGTTCAACACGCAACAAACTCATGATTGAACAAAATGGAAATTTAGAATTTTCTTTGTTTCAGCCCCAAATAGGAAAATAAGGATAAAGTTAAGCTCAGGTACAAGACCACAAACACTTCCTGGTTCTCTGCCTACAAACCACTCCTATGATGCAGAAAGTTGTTGAAAGCTTAGTATATTCTTTCTAATCACAGCTGCTATCTGAAAACCCACCCGATGGAGAAAGATTTTCAAAGATGGTAGAGGTATGTGTTTTATATTTAGTTTTCTTAGCACCAGATAGAATTTTAGAAGCTCCATTATTCAAATGTAACTTGTTTTTCTCAGCATATATTAAACACTGAAGAAAACTGGAACTCATGGAAAAATGAAGGCTGCCCAAGTTTTGTGAAAGAAAGGTAAATATATACTGAAGCAATATGATAAATATTAAAATATAATTTGATATTCTATTATGTAGCGATATGTGTATATGTATTTTATATAAAAAAATGTAAGTTAAGCCCAGGCCAGTATTACTCAGTGGTTAGACCATTGGTCCATAGACCAAAGGATATCACAGGCTCAATTCCTGGTCACAAGGGCACTACCTGGGTTGCATGTTTGACACCTGGCCCCAGTTGGGGAGAATGTGGGAAGCCGCCAATCATTGTGTGTCTCCCTCACATCCATGGGTTTTTTTTTCTCTCTCTCTCTCTCTTTCTCTCTCTCCCCCTCTCTCCCTCCTTCTTTCCCTTCCCCGTCCCCCCTCCTCCCTCCCTTCTACTTTCTCTAAAATCAACGGGGGGGAAATATACTTAGATGAGGGTTTAAAAAAAAAAAAAAAAAAGTTGAGCTCATAACCACTCCAATTTATTTTATTAGAAATTTTCATCTCAAATTTCTTGTAATTAAGCTCCCAGAACAAATTGATATATTATCCAAAAAAAAATTGTATACCCACTTACCCTTTGTACCATGGTGTGGCATTTTGGTCTTTTATCTGATGAGTGTTCTATAATAATATGAAGCTTTCATCTTTTTTAGAAAACACTGTTTTGTTTTACATTAAACACTTTCGTTTCTGTTGTCCATTTGTAATTCCAGTATGTTTTGTTCACCACAGAACATCAGACACTAAGCCGACGAGAGCAGTACGGAAGAGAGCGGCACCAGAGGACTTCCTGGGGAAAGGGCCCAACAAGAAGATTCTGATGGGAAGGTAGGTTACCCGTCTCCATACATGGAATGTTACTGGCTATTTTGTATTTAAGATGTTACTGTAAGAACTCTCCAATTTCTGTGTTTGTCTGTTTTTTTATGTGTTTGGTATATACATACAATAGATGATGACTAAAGCAAAATACCCCCTATCAATCTATAAGGCCATTGTGTGGTTCATGCAAGTACACATACTAGTACTTCCACCATGTCTCCTGCTTCCAAAATCCAAGGCTCTAGGCTGATATTTTATCACATCACAGGCAATGTAATTGCATTGATCCAGCTCATTTCTAGTTGTTACAAAATACCACAGTCATTCCTGTTACCTTCTAGTTGACTGTAAATTGCTTTATATTATGCTTGAATATTTTTAGAAAAAAAAATTGTCATTCAATATATACCCATATAGAAAATTTGCTAAATACCAAAAATTAGTGAAGAGAATTAAAATTCCACTATTTAACTTGTATTATGTGTTTTTTTTAGTGAGGAGTTAACAAGGCTTTGGAATCTCTGCCCTGATAATATGGAAGCCTGTAAATCAGACACAAGGCAAGTTCCAAATGTTTCACATCAGGTATTGCTTTTCTGAAATGTTGAGTAGAATGGCCTTTTGTCAGCTATCAAGAGAGTTCAAAAAATCATGGTTGACTTTAGCACGATAATTTTAGAAATCACAAGAAAATGAGAATTCGCAAAAATAGAAGGAACTACATTCCAAGGTATGACCTAATTTTGTGGTTGCTTCTAGCTAGGGAGCAGTACAAATGATTTCCACTTTTGGGAACTAGGGAACGTGGGTCTTAACAGCCATAAAATGACAGAAGGTAAGGCGTTAGGCCTGCATGAATTTGTAACTGAGTTCCCCTGAATAGAGCTGAGCCCCTTGACGCACTACATTTTCTGTAAAAGAAGGATAGAGTGGAAGATGGAGAGACTTGCCCACTGGTACAGGAAACAAAGCTTGTCCATTACTATCTAGGCTGTGAGCAAAAAGGAAAAAGTATTCCTGGGAAATTATAACCACAAGTCTGCCGCCATGCGCTCTTAAATATAAATATATCCTACCAGCTGTGTAAAGGAGCCCCAGCTTTCCAGAGGCCACATCTCCAACCTAAGCCAAGGATCCTGTAGATAAAAATCTGAAGTTCACCATCCAGACTTGACAAAACATTCAAGAAGACATTCACCATGAGTAACAGTCAGCAGATGGACCAAGCCACAGAAGTTAAACATCAGATTAAGGCTTACAATAAGTATATTTAAGATAATTAAAGATATAAAAGGAATTGAAAATAAAAGAAACATGACATGACCTAGTCATTGAAATTACAAAATAGGCAGGTAAAAAATAGGCTTGACACAGGTGAAATAGAATTAATGATTTTAAAAATCACCCAGAAAACAGAACAGAGGGATCAAGAATTAGAAAATATGAAAAAGTCAAGAACCACAGAATGAGAAGGTCCAACAGACTTTTAATAGGAGAGGAAATAAGAGAATGGGAAAGAGGCAGTAATCAAGAGACAGAATTTTTGTTTCAGAACCAAGAATTAGCATAAATTCTCAGGTTCATGTGGTACAGATTTAAGTGGGATAAACAGAATCAATCCTTATCTCTACACACTGTAATAAAGTCACCAGAGGAAATCCAGACCACCTTCAAAGGAGCAAAAAATCAGGCTGATAGCAGACTTCAAGCCCAAAAGGAACCACAGACAGTGGGATAACTTCAAGGTGTTGAAAGCATGGACTCTGAATTCTGTATAACAAGTTAAACAGTGGGTTGGTTAGTCAAGAGAGAAATAAAGTTACTTTCAGATTAAAACTGAGAATCTGTCATTAGCAGTCTTTAAAAACCTGTCAGAAAAGACTTGAACCCAAAAACAATGTGAAGTTGTAAGGGTTGCTATGCAAAGACATTAGTAAATATGAGTAAGTTTCATCAGACTCATTGTATAAAGCAGTAATGATACTAATTGGGGGTATTTTAAAAAGGTGGAACTAACATACTTGATGAAAAGTAACCCTAATATAAGGAGTGATCAGAATTAAAGAATATTAGAGATGAAGATAGAGATAATAACTAGACTTCAAGTAAAGCATGCTTGCTAAATATGTAAAAGAAACAAGTTGAGGAAAAAAATAGAGAAAATTCAAGTGGTCAAATAAAATATAAATCAGGATTGTGGGCAGGTACAAGCTGAATTCCATTAATTGAAAACTTGAAAAGATTCAAAACAATATACACTTATTTAAAAAAAAAAACACATGAATGATAAACACCAAAATCTAAAGAATGGCTACCTCTGGTGAGAGAAAATGAAATTAAGGAGAGGTGCATGAGCACTCTCAACCGTATTTGTAGCATTTGAAAGTTTAAAGCAGATACGGCAAAAACCTACAGTGCTCACTACAAACTAGCAAATGGTTTCAAACATTTATGAATGATGGTCTGATTGGAATTTTAGTGTGAACCCTGTTTTACTAGTGTGATGTGTAGAAGAGTGATGGTAAATTCTCAAGCAATTACACAGGCCTGTAATGTTCACCAATTACAGAGCATGTTACATTTCAGTAAGTTACTAGATTTTAGGCTTGATTTTTCTTTGGAGAACTCATTTTTCTCATTTTAGTAAAAAGATGTCTTCTGATCAGATCTTTAGATCTTATTTGACTCTGTCTCAAATTTTAATTTCTGAAAACAAATTTAAGAAGGTGCAATTAAAAACCAGCCATGTGCCCTACTGGTTTGGCTCAGTAGGTAAGAGTGTGGGCCTTTCGCCGGGACCGGTTTGGCTCAGTGGATAGAGCGTCGGCTTGGGGACTGAAGGGTCCCGGGTTGGATTCCGGTCAAGGGCATGTACCTTGGTTGCGGGCATATCCCCAGTAGGGGGTGTGCAAGAGGCAGCTGATCGATGACACTCTCTCATCGATGTTTCTAACTCTCTATCTCTCTCCCTTCCTCTCTGTATAAAAAAAATAAAATATATTTTTTAAAAAAAAGAGTGTGGGCCTTTGGACTGAAAGGTCAGGGGCTCAGTGTGGGGTCAAGGGCACACACCTGGGTTGTGGACTCAATCCCCAGTAGGGGGCATGCAGGAGGCAGCCAATCAATGATTCTCTCTCATCATGGATGTTTCTGTCTCCCTCTCCCTCTCTGAAATCAATAAAAATTTAAAAGAAAAATAAAAACTGCCATGCTACCATGGCAGCAATCTAAAAGAAGCTAAAAGTTCTCGAAATCTCAGTACATCTGGTTATTATTTTCGGTTTAAAGGGAAAAAAGTCCATGGACATAATGTGAATATTTCCTGCTTGCTGGAGAAATTCAAATGCTAGTAAGCCCCTGGCTGCCTTCTGTGACTAGTAACAAACTAAGTCAAGTATGAATAACATTGGAATCCTCACTAGTTATTTTTTAACATCCAGAGAATATATGCCAACTTTGGAGGAATTCTTTGAAGAAGCCATTGAACAGGCCGACCCAGAAAGCATGGTTGAAAGTGAATATAAGTAAGTAATGTTTCTTTCTCATGAACTCAGAATGCTAATAAGGGAGACAGTTGATAGAGTGGTACTTTTCCTCTTAGGTGAGTTTATGTACCAACTTCACATTATTTCACATCTGATTTTGATGATCATTCCCATCAACTTAACAGACATTGCTTAAAATCAAGCTTATTAAAAAAAAAATCCCTCTTGAACCTATCTCTCCAAATATTGCCTATTTTATCTGTTCCCCTTCAAATCAAAGTCAGGTATACCTCATTTTATTGCACTTCACTTTATTACACTTCACAAATGTCAGGTTTTTTACAAATTGAAGGCAAAAGTTACAACTTTTTTTGAGCAAAAAAAGTTACAACTCACTTTATTACAGTACTCACCACTGCAGTGGTCTGGAACCAAACCCACAGTATCTGCGAGGTATGCTTGTCTCCCAACAATTCCTGATAATTGCTGCCTTCATTTCCCCACCTCCCATTGTCCTCAGCCCATTTCTGGTGGGCTGTCTCTGGCTGTCATATAGCTCTTATAAAGATCTTCTTTTTTTTTTTTTTTTTTTTTTTTTTTTTACCCCTCAGTGGTATTCCCTAGTTGATTTCTGCCTTGTTAAGATACCATTTTCGTTTCTCGACAGCCATCAAACTATAGCTGGCACTGTTATCCTTTTGTCTAATTGCTTCTGTCTCCATTGCTGGCTCCCCAATCCTCTAACTTAAAATTTTGGAATAGCTTCAGGACTCAGTCTCAGGGTCTTCAACTAAATCTTCTAGGTAATACCACAGCTCGTGGTTTTGAATAGGCCTGTGGTACTGATTTGAGGGCACACGCCCTCTTGTCAGACTGCTTAGGCTCCAATCCTGGGACTCTACCACTTACCTTGCTAGGCTACGAGGACTAATTAAACCCTTCTGTTTGTTTCCTTGTCTATTAATAGGAATAGAACACATTTCACAGGGTTATTCTAAGGACTAAGATGATTTACTTTGAACCAGTTCTGGTCAATTTTCCATGCATTAGCCCAGTGGTTCTCAACCTTTCTAATGCCTCAACCCTTCAATACAGTTCATGTTGTGGTGACCCCCAACCATAAAATTATTTTTGATGCTACTTCATAACGGGGTTGCCTAAGACCATCGGAAAACAGAGATATTTACATTGCGATTCATAACAGTAGCAAAATTACAGTTACGAAGTAGCAACAAAAATAATTTTATGGTTGGGGGTCACCACATGAGGAACTGTATTAAAGGGTTGAGGCATTAGAAAGGTTGAGAACCCACTGCCTTAGCCAGTGATCTTTAAATTCACAAGTCAAATCTGTTGCTACATAATACAATTAAGACAAAGTCTTACTAACAAGCTTCCTTTATCTGATTTGCACCTTTCTACCTCTCCAATCACATCTTCTTTGCTTATTTTCTCTGCTAAACCCATAGCCCTGTTACTGTTAACTTAAAAGGTACTTCCACCTCAGGACCTTTGTAACGTGTTCATTTGCTTAAAACTTCAAGGCAATCCCATGGCTTGCCCTCTCAGATTCTCATCTTAAATACTGAGCAGTTTTCCCTGACCAAGTCTTCACTTTCCCTCTGTAATGCAGCCCTGTTAACATTTATTTCATAGTACATATCACCATCTGAATTTTTCACTTTTTTTTCTCATCCTTACCACTACCTGAAATTGTCTTAACCCTTGTATTTATCTATAATGATGCTTAGCAACAGATTTACTATGTCAGTTACTTTCTAAGCACTTACCTTATATAACTCTTAAAGTAAAAATTGTTCTTGTTTCAGCTAGTAAATGGCAAAGCCAGGAAAATCACTTGCGACCTCAGGGGCCCTAAACTGCAGTGTTGTGCCTCAGGTGTTCAGGGTGAGGTTACAATCCCCATGACTCCTGAGTGCCCAGCTCAAGTATTTGTTGAGTGAATATTGATTTATTATTGTTTGGTTAGACTAAGTAGAGAGATAGCCCTCTAAGATTAGTTTAAGAATCTGGATGGTATGGATCTCTGGAGAATTTTGTATGTATAATTGACAATGTTTGAAAGATTCAAATTATTTAAACAGAAAAGTGTCGGAGAAAAGGTTAACTATTTTGGCAGAGCCTCGTAGCATAATGTTAACTTGGTAAGGGTCCCTCCCCACTGTCTAGTAGTTTTGCAGGTGTAATGAGACTCTTAAGTAAACGAGGTTGCTACTCTAACAATTTGGGGAGAAAGGGTATTTACAAATGACTTGCAAAAAACTCATAAATGGGAGGGGTGGGATTGATCTGGATTCTTCTGCAGCTTGACTGTTTTCAGGAACACTGTCTTTAAAATTTCCCTGAGGTTTCCATTTCTCACCTTACTGTATACCACCTATTACCACTTTGCTTCCTTACAGAACAGTTCACGGGTTCTGTTCTTGGCATCATTGCTTACTCTCTTGGCTATTGGGTATTTTCCTTTTAATTTTGGAGCAGTATTTTTATCCCATCATGATGATTCTGAACAAATTCAAGTTTAGGCTTTGTATAAATAGGAAACCAAACACTGATTAAATTAATGATTGGAGCTCAGTGTTGAACTTATGTTCTAGAACTCACACCTATAGGTGGCATTATGCTGGCAGGTATCAACTCATTAAAACATGTTAAACCTATTAGGAATTCATGTCCCTCCTAAATAACTAGATTTCTGTCCTGCATATACAACATCTAGCCAGCCCTACACATAGTAATTTGCTTTTTTAAATTAAGTAAAATGCATACAAATTTTTTAAATGTGCTTGCTGGTGTGACCTCCCTCTTCAGACTATTGGTTTCTATTATAAGCAACCAGCACACTTAGGTTCTTTGGGAATATGATCAATGAAAAGAAGGGTGCCTTCAGCTACTTAAGAGTTACAGAGTTTCACATGGTGAGTTACATTAACTAGAAGGGAATATAGAAATAAATGACTATATAGTTATAAGACTGACATCTTTTTATAGGGCTGTGAACAATTCAAATTATGGTTGGAGAGCCCTGAGACTGTTAGCAAGGAGAAGCCCTCACTTCTTCCAGCCAACCAACCAGCAGTTCAAAAGTTTGCCAGAATATCTTGAAAACATGGTAATAAAGCTAGCAAAGGAATTACCAGTGAGTATTATAAATCTATTTTTTTAATTTCCTTTAATTGATGTTAAACTGCTATCATTTGAACAGAACTGAATTTAGAGTTGTGGAAAAAATCCAACTCCTGTTTTAGAATGAGGAAAAATGCATTTGAGGGTACATTTCATAGGAAGTACATAAACTGATAAACTTGAATAATTTTTGTACTGCATGTATAATGTAAGTCTATAGTGCTTTTGGATAAACTATTATCATTTTTCTTGTTTGTTGGTGCATTATATTCAAAGACGGCAGCAGTAGGCAACTTGGCCTTACTACTCTGGCTCTTTTTCAATCCAGTTTTCACATTGTATTGCTACAATATGGTACTAATAACTGTGCATAAAAGCTAATAAAATCACACAAAAAATGTTAAGGACACAGTTGCTCAACTCTAGTCTTCCCTAGACTATTATTACTAGATGCTAGGTATATGAAAATAACTTTAACATCTTTACTGACTCCTTCTTCCCAGGTTAGAGGAGTAAGGGGAGTCTTTACAACTTTCAGATCTTCCCCATCCACTCCTTCGCCAGGTTAACACTGTTCTCTGTGTCATATTTAACATTCACATCTAATACCCTCAGGGGTAAAGCTCTGGGTCCTATATTGGAATGTCACAATCAGCTCATCTAAACAAATTAATCCCCAGATTCTTTAGAAGTTGCCATTCTCTTAAACATTCTCCTTACTCATTTTAGCCTCCTTCTGAAGAAATAAAAACAGGTGAGGATGAAGATGAGGAAGATAATGATGCTTTACTGAAGGAAAATGAAAGTAAGAATTGAATTTTCTTGGCTATTTTACAAAGATTGTGGTTCTTTGTTGAGAGGTACGTTATTTAATTTGATCTACTTCTCAACTTCTACCATGTATCTCAGCTCTTTCTTATAGTAAGGAATTTGAAGCACTGCTTAATTTAAAAATGATTTCCTAAAGGTCATTAAGAACAGTATTCAATCCATGGAAAATATAAAAAGGAACTGTTTGGATTAACATTTCAGTGGCCCCAAATCTTCCCATTTCTGTTGTATACTTTGAATAGTACATGTCCTCATACTTGGTACGTAATTTACATTCCTTGTGTTTTCTAGGCCCTGATGTTCGCCGAGACAAACCTGTAACAGGGGAACAAATAGAGATATTTGCCAACAAACTGGGTGAACAATGGAAGATTCTGGCTCCCTACTTGGAAATGAAAGACTCAGAAATTAGACAGATTGAGTGTGACAGCGAAGACATGAAGATGAGAGCTAGGCAGTTACTAGTTGCCTGGCAAGATCAAGAGGGAGTCCATGCAACGCCTGAGAATCTGATTAATGCACTGAATAAGTCTGGATTAAGTGACCTTGCAGAAAGTCTAACTAATGACAATGAGACAAATAGTTAGCTTTTTTTTTTTCCTTTTTTATTAAAACTGTGATAAGACTTTGTTACCAAGCAGCATTTGTTAAGAGGTCCACTGGTTTTGGTAAACAATAAACATTTTTATAACAGTTGTACAGTTGGCTGGTATTCCAAGAACAAAACACATATTGGCTCTTGACAACTGATCTCAGGATTTTGGGAGGAGGGAGGAGGTTGGAAAAATAGCCAAAGTGATGTGACCTCAAGGTCACAATATATTTTTGTTAAGTGCGTTAATCAAGTCAATAAGCGATATTTAGGGGGCATGGTGTTTTCTAAAATGCACTATGCCAAATTAGTTTCTGCATGCCATTAGCAATTATGAAATTTAACTTACTATTCTGAAAATCCCAGAATAAGACTTTATGAATCCTTATGGCTGCTCTAGCTCATGCTTTAAAACAGAGGATCAGCAAACAATGGTCCGTTTAACACTTGGTTTTATAAGTAAAATTTAATCAGCACACTTACATGCTGATTTCTTTTTAGGTATTATCTATGGCTTCTTTCCTGCTACAACGGCAAATTAAGTAGTTGCAACAAAGAAGTTATAGTTTGCAAAGTTTAAAATATTTACTATCTGGCCCACTACAGAAAATGTTTGCTGAAGAAATGGGGTGAAGTCTAAAACCTAGTTCCTTTAGCCTTATAAAAATTAACCTCTCAAGTCATTAAAATGGGAATACATTGCTCAGGGATTGTTGTGAATTTCAAATGAGATATCTGTGAAAGCACCCTGTAAACAGCAAAGCACTAGGTAGTAATGGTTGGAGACAGAACTCTCTCTTTTTCCTGTCCCAACATAAGCATTATCCTTTAGGGATCTAAATTGTTATTGTTTTGAATCGAGAACTACTAAATGCACATTATACAATAACTGTTCTTGCTTCGGCTTAACTTGACTAGCTAGTCCAACAGCATACACAGCACAGCTCTAGTATCAGAAGGGCATCGTGCTAGTGGCACAGCATATAAGGCACACTCAGGAGTCAAGACCTTTTCTTGCTTACTCTCAAAGACCCCCACATGCAAGGCTGACCTCTAAAACAGCCTTTTTAAAACAACACCGGTATAAGTCCAATTTCTTATACTTAAAGTATCTTTGGAATAATGCTTTTTTTGGAATAAAATGAAAGGGTTGTTGTTTTTTTTTATAATTACAATTTTAAAATTCTAATTCTATAGGTTTATATACTTTGTTCTAATTCTACCTCACCTGATCTCTAGTAGCTACAGCATCCTGCAAATCAGAAAATCTAAATTTCAATTGCTAAATTATATCCTTAAAATTGTTCAATCCAATTACAGTGAATAAAAAAACTGCAGAATTATAAGCAGCATACCAATATATAAAAAACATCACAATTCTTATGGTCTCGTTTTTCCCATCCTATTCTGCACCCTTCCTCAAAGCAAAGGAAGTACTGATTGCCAATAATTCAAGTAATTAGAGATTAGCTGAAGAAGCTATATACAAATAAAGTTTCCCTGAAATACTTATTTTATGTGCCCTAGTGTTCTCAGATTATATCACATTGCTCAAACTCAAAAATAGCCATTATTCTCTAGAAATCTACTAGCTGTCAGTGCTGTCTGAGCTCTACAGAGCATTAAAACAAGAGTAAGCAAAGATGAGATTTCATGATAACCCTCAAAACTTAATTATAAATATCCAACTTGAAATCAGACAAATTTGGTAATATTCTATCCTTTCTCTAACAAGGCTCCTAAGACAAAGATGATGAACTAATTAGAATATATTAAACCTACTATATTGAAATACCTCATACCCTTGGTATTCCTACCTCCACTAGAAAAATCATTTGATATTCAGCTGTGAAAAAGACATTAAGATTTTGGGAACTGACAAGTACAAAAATAAAGAACTGAGCCAAAGAACAGATCTGACTGAAATGCTGCATTCAGCATCCAAAAAACTCCATTGCTCTTCAACTTCGTATTTCTTTTTAAACAATATAAAACAGGCAAAGATAAAGTTTTTCAATGGATACTTAACAGCAGAGTAAAACTAACCAACAGGGTTAACATACTGGAACCTCAGCCAACTCAATAGACAAAAGACTTGAAACTGTTGGACAAAAAACTGTTAATACCTCTATTAAATATCCCTATTTTCTAAAAATAAGCAACCAGAGCCTGTCAACATCCTTTTCAGATTGATTACTACAAAACCATTGCAGTGTTAAATGTATAAACCATAGTACATCACAGAGACAGTAATAAATGTATAATCAAATGTACTATTGATCAGAATTTATTTTAAAGTCATGAAAAGCCAG